TCCTCATCACATAAAGTAGTGCAGCACAAACTGTACTCTATTTTATTTAGAAGCGGTTCAAGGAATTTTCTAAGTTGCCAGAGCGTCGCTATTAGTATGAGCAATTAGCGTTCTGTTAATGAGCTCTCAGACAACCGACAAGATACGAAAAGACTACTACTGAACACATCTTAACGGGTAGTGGGGCGTTTAAAGTTGATGGGGTAATCGCCTGGGAGTGCTTTATGGCGCCCGTGCCTAGCTATGTCAATAAGTTCCGTATCTCCATAGAATTGAGGTCACTTTTCGAACAGCTCGTGTATTGTTGCATCGTCGTAGGAATTTCACATATTATGATGCAAGTAAATAGGTACATGATCTTGCTATGGAATCTGGATATCGAAGAAGTGCTTGAGTGTCAGTCATTTGTCTTTGGTTCTCAATTCTTTAATCAACATTCGGCTATTGTGATATAAATATTTTTTCTCGAAGTTTCTAATAAGTATTTCTAATAATTTTTAAAATACAGAGTTCTTTCATCCTAGGTTCTAAGTACAGCTGTAACCTCATTACAAAGGTGACCAAATATTGTGTGCGGTGGGCGTGCCTCACCTGTCGCATCATGCGGCCGCCACGTGCGCTTGCGCATGTTCCATCTACGCGCCGCGCATACCGATCCCAAGCCTCGTAGGACTAACACGTATTTTAGCAAATAGGCCAAGTTTTTGTAGTAACTCAACTTTAGTAACCAATTAATTAATTTTAACTGGAACATCATTTCTATCAAGATTATTAGTTTAAATTATTTTCAAACATGGAACTACGTTTAGTAGGTACTTCATCCAATGTAAATATTTTGTCAAGCAGCTCACCGATTGTACTTCATTTTAAATATTACCATCCTCTCAATTCATTTCATGTGCCTTATCATGTGTATCTATAAAACAATCACGAGTTCGAACAATATTATCTTTAAAGAATATCTACCTTATATAAGGCCACCCTGATGCTACACAAACAACAATACTAAACTATAAAACACGGCGGTGCCGTTTATGTATGACACGATTGGTTTCCGAATACTAATTTCGCACTATTCTTAAGGGTCATACACCTTTTGAAGTTTGTTACACTCAAATATGGACGCAGTTTTCTGCGTTTTGTCTCTTAAATGTTGTCGTCTGGTTTTCTTCACATAGGTTGGTACGACTAGCAAAATAAGTTTTTCTATTGCCATTCTTAGAAATGCTAGAATTATAGGGTTGAAAGATCTGGCTCTCTCTATAAACACAAGGTTGCTGGCTTAATTCCAATTTTAATTGTTTATTGTATTGTTGTTTATTTGAAAATAGATAATATTCCTACTATAATATGATAATACTAGGGTCTTTTTGGAGGCTTTTCTCTACGACTTATGATGTGAAAAAGAATGGATGCGAAATCTGTAAAATAAATTAAAAATCTTTACTGCTAGTCTGTTATATACCGTTCTGTTTTCAATCAATACTCATTTTATTGTTTACCGAACTATGTTTTTATTTGTTTTGCATAATAAAATGTGAAACAGTATGCAGATGTGGCACCTATTGGCCATCGTTCCCGGATAACCGGCGCAAATCTCTAAATTAAACTATGACGACTCAGTTCGGGAATCATTGCGACAACTAGTTTTTACGTTTTCATATGAGGAAAATTTTAACAAAATTCACTTTCTTGAAGCACAAGCCTGCGATTACCGTGATAAACATAAGCTATCTACCTATATCTGTTAAGATATATGAGGAAAACGATACGCATTACCGACTACAAACGATGGCACTTGAAGACAAGATATCATTTACTACGAAAAGCATTTTTAGACAAGTCTGTAGTTCTAATAATCTAATCTATCTACGAATAATATTTTCATTATGTATATGACTGAAGACAGTCTTCCCCGAAACTCAAATGCATGTGGACATTGCACACATGATTAGATATATTATATTGCATTATGTGGGAGGGCACACGTGCGGATAACGGTTCGCGTTATCAACTGAGCGTACTAACCTCACCCAGTTTGGTCGGACAAAAGAAAATCCGCATTTCGCAACCTAAGTATACGGTGTCAACATATACCTATTTGAAAAACATTGTGCAAATTATATACGATAAAATATTTACTTGACCTTAGCCATTTTTATTACATTAATTCATTTCAGACTTATGATTTCTCAGAAAGTCTGCAATGAAATGAAATGAATGTCCGATCTTTTGTGTTGTAATTTCATGTTATTTTCTAGACTTAAACAAAAAATTGCGGCACAAATAGTGTCTAAAGTGTAACAGAACAAAACATTAGAGCTGTACGTTCATACGTCACAACTAGATATAGCGGTGATCTCATTGGCGTGCTAGCAGCGATAACACCGCGTACTACGCTCTCCGAGAACCCTCAAGGGCTCCGCATCGGGAATGCTTCAGTGCTTCCAAGAAAATTTGAATAAGGCCTAGCGTACAATACACGTAGCAATGACGCACTCGGTCTATAGGTCAAGGTAACAATTTCTTTATAGGTACAGTGTGACAGCAATATGAAATGAGAGGTCCGAACACAAAGAAAATAACGTGACATGCTTGCAAAATCCTTTGTCATTACACGATTTACAAAACGGTACAATCGAAACTTCTCGAATAAACGAAAGTTAAGTGAAATGCGAACAAGGATACAGACACCCAAAAACGAGATTACCAAGACTAACAAGCAAGAATGTGATAATAAAGCGGCGGTTAATTGTTAGGTAAAGCACCGTGACCAATTAACGTTCATGTTAGCTATACAATGCGCGCGCGCATTTGAGACGAATTTCATTTAAGCAATTGTAGTAATTGACCGGGCAGAGCGCCTTCCGGAGCAACTGCCGCCTGCTTTGTCTCCTGCACTGATGCACGAGGTCGGCAGTGTCGCACTATCTCGTATAGAATGATTTATGTTTCTATAGTTTTAATGCAATCTTAGCAAAGCTCGTGTGGAATTTTAACAAACCACAAATGACTATATCGGGTTGAATATTGACTCGATATGTTCAAAAATGATTTCTGCACTTTTACAACGCTCCTTTTATGGTAGTATTGACGCTCGTCTATGGCCATAATGAACGCGCCCACGGGTCCAACGCGTCCTTGCGGCAAGGTCCGACCAAGCCTCCCGCCCACCAATGGCGTCACCGCTGCCATCATAAATTTACAATAGTTAATCGATACCACTATATAAAGCTCGAAAACCGTAGACCTAACTGTCTACCAAAATGCGATGCAATATATGAAGCAAAATGAAAACGTACAACTAACAACAATAAAGTTTCGTTTGAAAGCCGGCTATTGCATGAGTGCAGAGGCTTTGTTTTGAGTACGAAGCGTTACCTCAGATAAGTAACCATCGCCGCGTGCGATGCGAAATGATGCGAAATATTTCCGGAGTTAGAGGAGTATTCTATTAATAAATGATTCGACGTCGCTCGTGGGCGAAGATTTCGGGCGAGCGCGGGCGCGGCGTTCAGTAGCGCGCGATCCGCCGCGGCCGGCCGCCGTACGCGCGCGCAACGAACGAACGACCCGCACTCCCGCGCACACGATACTCCACGCGATACTTCGCGACATACGACCTACGATCCGCCCCTAAACACGCGTTAACACCGACCCCTAAGGAAGTCCCGTAATCTCAAAACTCACCGGTGCACAGACGGATCGACCTCACGTAGTTATACCTACTGCACTTTTGCGAGGGCGGATTATAACGAACAAATCGACTAACAAACTCGAACCGCACGAAGGTGTCGCGTCGCAAAAAGCGCAACACAATAGAGTAAGCGTCTAATTATAAACGTGGTTGAGTTAGCACCGCAACATGCAGAACATTGATCCTCTGGAAATCGCCAACATCCTCGCTACGGAGCTGTGGTGCCAGCAGGTATATCTCCTACCACATCGTGGTCATGTTCTATGCTAGGCTAGGCGTACACCCAGAATGTGTATAAATTCCTCTTGGTTACCTGCTAAAGCAGCTGGATGTTGCTGCATTCTGAAGTGACAGGACTGTTGAGTAAAGGTGTCTTTCCGCATTCGACTCATTAGCAGCTTGGTATAATGTATCATAACTAGAACAACACTAATTTATGTTAATAATTCGTTATCGCCAGTAATTTGCAGCGCAAGTAACGGGAGCAGTAAGTTTGTTACTAGAACATCAGTTTTTAGGTGACAGATTTATTGGTCAGCTTTCAGCGAACACGCCATTAGCGTACTCACTCAACTTGCTCGAAGTAAACAAAATTATAGAATAAAGAGAGCCTTTAAAAACACCATAAAATTATTTACATTTACGGAAGAATGTTTTAATTAACAATTTGAATGTGTAAATAAAATTGTTATTTTGTTTATGTTGTTGATACGATGCACATGTTGTGAAAATATTTTGCTGATAAATTGTGATCGGAATGTGGAAGCGAGCAGTATTCGATCACAACAATAAATATTGCATAACAAATATATCAATTTTGCAATGAATTGTTGCAATAATGTTACCAATACTATCAATTATATTTATTGCTATACTATAGTTGGACTTCTACTTATAATTCGGTCGAGTTCATGTTTTGATGACGACGCATTAGGCGCCTTACCATAAACATTGATTATTCTCGAATTTTGAAAACAAGTTACAACAGGTTCACATTCAAATCTATTTCGGATTAGGTATTCTATTTTTAATTAATTTCACGCTATCGCTTATTATTACTAAGTGATTCTCTCACTTGTACAAAACGGTGTTGTCAATAAATAAGCTACCTATAAATATTTATTTATTATATCTTACTTGGAACTAGTGAGAGCTCCTGATGATATTTGGGGTTTAGAATAACAAAGTATGACTCATTTGGCCTAAATTTTCTCCATCAGCTGTTCGGAACATCGAAGTGTTGATATTCCAAAGATTTTCTTTTTGTACCACTCAACTCATAGTTTCTTTCTTTTGTTTCCAGTTGGCAAACCTAGAGGGCCTCCAGTCGGGGGTCCCAACCCGCACCACGGCCACCATCACGCCCACCCAGCTGCGGAACTTCGAGCAGACCTACATCGAGCTGACCAACTGCCGCAGCGAGCCCACTACTCACGCCGGCTTTGTACCACCTTCAGTCACGCACGCCAACAACTACGGTATGTACCACATTATCTTATTCCAAGTAGCATTCTTTATTTTAAGCATAACACAAACAAAAGTACCAAATTTGTGAATGGCCACCAAAACTGGCTTCTGAAGATTGGCACTAGCTGACAGGTTATAAAATGTCAAATTGTTTATAAATAAAAAATGGTCAAAGCAAAGCATTTTTTGAGACAATCAGTACTAAAGACCAAATCCTTACAATTTCAGGCATCCTGAATTCGGTGGGGTATTGCGATTCGGGCCCGACGACGGCGCTGCACGTGTCGCCGGGCCCACTCTCCGCCAGCGGCGACAGCAGCAGCAGCCCTGGTCTGCCAACTCCCAAGAGGCGGAACATGGGCGGCCGAAGACCTACCAAGGCACCGACTGACCTCTCACCCGAGGAAGAAGAACGCAGGAAGATCAGAAGAGAGAGGAATAAGATGGCCGCCGCTCGCTGCCGCAAACGTAGACTAGATCACACCAACGAACTGCAGGAGGAGACTGACAAGCTCGAGGAGAAGAAACAGGCGTTACAAGAGGAGATTCGCAAACTAAATCATGATCGGGAGCAGTTGGAATCCATTCTGCATACTCACATGCTATCTTGTCCCCTCGGCAAGCGGTCAACGAGTCCCCCAGACATCAAACCCTTCCAAGAATACTCGTACCCAGAGATGCCTGAAGACGGAGTCCGAGTCAAAGTAGAGGCTGTAGAACCTGTCGTAGACCCCGTCCTGGTGTTGGATAACATATTTACTTCGCCGGCAAATGACAAGAAGTAAGTGTGCTTGGCTTTTATTGGTTATAAAGTAACCGCATTCCTGAATTCCTTTGATATATATTATATATTTATTATTATAGACATCGTGACTACAACAACGTTATTTTTGTTTTCCAGGATAATGTTGTCGGCGGCCAACCCTGCCGTGGTGACGAGTGCTGCGCCGGCGACGTTGGACACGCCCCCAGTGCTGTCCCGCCCCAATAGACCCAACTCATTACAGGTTCCTCTCAGCCTAACGCCCGCACAGGTAATTACACTTACTTTTAAGTAAGAACTTTGATGACATTCTGTTGAGTAGGAAATAAACAAAAAATCTTTTAATTGAAAAAAAAAATACGAAATTCTACCAAACTTGAATTAGGTGCACTTAACTAATAGTTTGTTTTTTATTTTATTTCAGTTACATAATAACAAAGCTTTGGGCAACAACAAAATAGCGGGCATCGAGATCAGCACACCCAGTAACGGCATCCCGTTCAACTTCGAGAGCCTGATGGAGGGCGGCACGGGGCTGACGCCGGTACACCCGCACCCGCACCCCTGCGCCCAGCAACAGCGCGCGGCGCCCGACGCCGCCTCCCCCGACGCGCACAACAGTCTCGTCAGTCTCTGAGCCTGCGAGCCTCGCGGCCCTCGGACATCGTTCGTCTTGTAAAGACTACGCAATACTTATTTATTCGACTCTTATGGACATCGGCAGCGCCGAATTTTCTCTTTCTGTATTCTTCCGCCGTTCGGTGTACTGTGAGACGATCGGTCCTTTCTACTTGTCTTTATTTATTGAGAGCTCTATTTTAAGTAACATATTGCTCACTCGTGCTTTGTATTTATAACGTAGTCTTGTTAAAGTTAGTGACGGCCTAGCGTTGCCGGCCTACTCAAGTCAATTTACGAGCTGTTTTATAAACATTCTAAAGAAAATATTTTTATAAATAGATGTGTATTTCTGCAGAAATAATAATTGTGATCGAAAAATTAAATAAAACAGAGTTTTATTTGAAGCATTTCAGGGATTTATTTTCGTGTTGTGCTTAATGTCTAGCGAGGCTAGAATAGACGGTGCGTTTTATATTGTAAGGTAATATGTAAAAGATCTCTTTTACACTATACATTTCGGAATATTTCGGCACAAAAATTGTATTTATTGAAACGATCCTCAAAGTATCTTGTCATAATAAACCTCGTGCCATTTACTACGTCTACTCTCAGGAATACAATAATTACGAGTACGAAATATTTAGTTAACCATAAACTAACAGCAATATTACTTAAAGAATAAATAATATATTGAATGTAAGTTAGCTCAATGTTGATGTAACGTCTTACCGTTCCATTGGATTAGGTACTGGTAGTGTAAAATTATTGTTAAGCCTTTTGTGATACGTCCAGTGATTGTGAGCGCGTCTTGTTATGTATTGTATTGTAGCTCATGCCACACACATTGTAATGTCCTCAAACATACATAAACGCACTGACTGCATTTTTATACTCACATTGTCTAATGTTACTACATGAAATTAAACTATTTTCTAATTGCAATTATTACAGTAAATGAAATATTGAAGTCAATTATAATATTAATGCTATGAAAGTATTGTCCGTGGCATGAGTTCCTAGGATGTCTTTATAGGTAGAGACCACTGGAATAAAATAATTTAGTTTAAGGCAATAATTAGTGTAAGGGCACTTAACGATTTAATTATATATTATTATGCATAACTTAGACCAAATTATTACTTCATGTGCTTTATCGTAGTTGTAATTAAAATCTAAGCCAAATATTGAGTTTATGTCGTTACTTTAGATTTAGTTATTCCCGTTAAAGTATTATAATCTACGCGCAGAGAGCGGAGAGTATTTATTTAGTCATCTACGACGTACCGTATGAACCAGCATGGTTTTATATTGTCTAGTGCAATACTGCAACATTGCCTACGGTATAATAAGCGATAAATTTTTGCTATGAACTTATTACTCATTCGAAATATTAAAATAACGCATAATATGAACACCTAGGTTAAATAAGAGATGTAATTTTTTCTAGACGATTTTTCTTAACGCAATTGTAGTCTATACTTTTGTATTTTTTCATGAAAATTAGCAAAGCAATATATTTGATAAAATTATTGGAATTTATATGCATATGTAGTAAAATATATATATATATATATGTAAATCAGAAAATATAATTTGTTTACATACACCTGAATATGTTTTTTTTTTATTTTCAGTCATACCTTATCACAACGGATAATGCTTATTGTAAAGTTTGAAGTGATAATATAAATCTTTGCACTTAAAAAACAAGTCTTGTTGCCTTCACGGGAAAAAACATTCAATAAGCGATTCATCATATAACCCTAAAATAGCTATAACATACAGTACTTTTAAAAGTAATAAAAATATACAGATTATGCCCAGATCTGGCATAATTTTTATAAATATATAATTAACCCCTATTTTGCACCTAAGCCTGATCTTTACTTGAACTGCTATGTTATTCTCAAAAGTTAATTTGCGAAATCACTTCTGAATCCGCGGTGCATTTTTATTTAAAGTTTCTTATTCTGAAATCTACATTGGCGCCACCATGTGACTAACGAAGTGAAAGAAACTAAAACAAGTGAGTATTTTGAAGTTTGTGTACAGGCGAGATGAGAAGCGAAATAGTGTGTAATTTCACGATGATTTTCGCTGATGAAATTTACAACTTACAGAATAGCACTGCTGGTCTACAATATAAATCTATCAAACAACTTAACTCTAGGCGTAAAAGTTCAAATTAGCCTAATCCGTATTATAATGATTTGTAACTGCCAACAGCATTTTATCTAATTTGCCTCTGATGTAGAGTTTGAGTCCGAGGTAAGTGTAGAACAATATTTCCAACAAGCTGATGCAGCTCAAACCCATGGACAGGCCAAATACACCTCCGAGATTAGCTGGAAATACAAACACTGGTTATTTAACAAGGTCAACCTTTTTTTGAGGGGATAAATCATCAATATTGACGGTTGGTGCGGTGGCTGGGCAACTGGCTGCCGTGCAACGTGTCGCAGGTTCGATTCCCGCACGGAACAACTCTGTGTGACCTACAAAAATGATGTTCCGGGTCTGGGTGTCATGTGCATGTGAAATTGTATGTTTGTAACCGCACCCACGACAGGGGAGAAAATCCTAGTGTTTTTTTTTTGTGCGGGGAAAATCATCGTGAGGAGGAGAGAAAATCCTAGTGTGGGGCAACGTTTCAAAAAGACAAAAGAAATACCTGTAGGTAGCCAGGGTGGAGCGAGAGAGTGTCAGATTCTTAACGACTCAAAACTAGTTTATACATACACATACACCCGCAATCCAAGGTGAGATTTTGGCCTTAGTTAGCCCGTTTGTGGTAGTCTAATGGCTCTGTTAGGCGCGCACGCGCGTCAATTTGTTTACTTAGACTTCTTTTTTTACACAATGGAAAAAAGTTGGTACATGAGGGGGATTGTTGTGTGGGATTGTTATGTATTATTTTTACAAATCGACCTTTATGTTGAGCAGAGAAATAGAGAATAATAAATATGGACAAAACGTCTCAAGCTATCCTGGGATATAGATACTACCTACATTTAGATATTTTGAGATATAAAGATTGTTGTAGTTCAAAAAATTTAAATTAATTAGGTATCTACTCACAAGCTAAGCTGATGATGGACATAACAGTTTCTTGTTTTTGCTTCAAATACACCGGGTTCGTAAAGAAGAAATGGAATGCGCTGGTGCTGTTGTTCAAGTCCAAGCCTTCACTGGAAATGGAAAGTTTTAAATTTGAATTTGGACAATGAAAGTCACTACAAAAACGATAAGTAGAACAAGAAGGCCTAAGGTACCATTAGTGGCGCTAGTGTAGCTTAAAGGACCTTAAATGGCGTGGGTTGCAATACAAACATCAAAGTCTAAGTGCATGGAAACTACTTAACCGATTTTAATGAATCTTGGTAGGTACTCATACGCAATAATAGTTGTTTAAAAATATTTAAAACGTACAATTATTGAAACGTATTTTTTTAGTTATTACGAAAATTTAAAATGGTAAGCCTATGCCTCATAAACGCTGTTACGGTCTATTACCGATAGAATTAATTCCTAATGTCAAGTCCGTCCTCTTCTGCTAGTTAACCGATTTGGCTGGATCTCACTAATGACGTGAGTGTCAAATGGCAATAGTAATTAAATACGTGATCTGATCAAATATCAGGTGAGGGCTTAATTTTTAGAACCATTATGCAGCACGATCAGTCTTTGTGTTGTGGATGTGATGATGAATGAATATCCCACGTGGAATGGAAATCCGTAACAAGACATGCTTTCTTTTTATTACTCAGAGCTTGATCATTGCTTACTATGGATTTTTGAGGGTGTAAGGTATAGCCCTGAAGTTGCCCAAGGTCATTTCACCGCGATATTTCCGTGACTCACAATCTCTTAGACAATTGCAATTTTCCGGCGTCAACCAACTGGACATGTTCCCTGAAATAAATAAAACAAGTTCTTTAAAATGTACCTTTAAGACCAGTTTTTCAATTATGTTGTAATAAACTTTTTTACTTATAGATTTGTGAAACGCCAAGTTTAGAAGACCTTTTTTGTTTAAAAAAATATGTAATTTTTGTTTCATTTGCCCTCCGAGAGAAGGCTAGAACCGTTTTGTGAGTATTTGAAAATTTTACTGCTATACGATACACAAACCACACGCAAGCTCAGCTTGTTAAACAACCCTCACTGCTGAGCGAAAAACATAAGAGAGCATAAGGAGATCTTTATTCACTTGTTTAACAGTTGATACATTCCAATTTCAACGCATGACGACGCTTTTTTTGAGGGCGAAAATCATCATTTCTTCTTTCGCCCAGGGTGGGGCGAGAGAGAGTATTCGACTCTTACTGAGTAAAACCCACCCCGTGCGTTCTCCTACTCCAGGCTTAGAACGTTGTACATTACACTTACATTTGACAGCAATAATGCAGGGAATGTCAACGAGTTTGCAGTCGTTGCCCCTATTGTGCGGTATGTATGGAGGAGTGCAGTTACAAGCAACTTTCACAGCATTTGTATAGCACAAGTGGTCGCAGTCCGAGTTATGGTAGCTCCGAAAATGATCCAATTGGTGCTCGTCGTGAAAAAAGCAATTTCGACTGGAAAAAAGACACAATTAGGTTATCACATCACTAATCATAAGCTCTTTAAGTGATGGCCTCTACTCACACGGTAAAGGTGCTTACTGCTCTAGGCGCATTGGCTATGTCAAACTTATAACTAGAAATTATAAGTCCAGGTTTTTCACGCTGTTTTCCTTCACCTTCATGTCAGTGGTGTCTAAATAATCTTAGTACCTAGTACATATAACTCGGAAAAGTCACATTGGTATCTACTTGCCAGGTCTTGAAACTGCACTCATGCATGCATGAGAACTGGACGACTCCTAATCCGGAAAACCACGAAGCTTATATCGTGCTTATATCTAAGGGTTAAAAGACAATAAACAGAGATCGTAAATTGTTTTGCCCTACCTCCAAACAGGCAGCGATTTTACTTCATCAGAGCAGTAAGTATATGTAGCAGATAGGATGTGGAACGACTCCCCGTAACCATCAATGTAGGATAATTCATCGTCAGAAGGAAACTCTGTGTAATCTGTGTACATTACCTAAAAAAAACTAAGTTATCAATTTAAAATACTTTCCAGTTATTACTACAGAGCCCATTTGTCATGAACCCTATTACTCTTCATCGCCCTCCCCTGCCCCTATCCCTAATCCCCAAAACGCCGGCAATGCACATTTAACTTCACTGGTGTTGCAGACCCATGATCCATACTGTCCATGGGCGGCGGCGATTACTTGCCAGCATTTACATATTAGATATTTCGACGGGTCTCTGTTAGACTATCTCTCCGGTAAATCTATCTCTGTACCCGGTTCCTATATTTAACGAATCGTCATTGCATTACGACAAAATGACATTACGAATAGTTATCTTGACCGTCTACTGACGGTTAAAATATTTATAGGAAAACCACAGACACCATAGATCTCCATACAATTCGCTTACCGATATCCGTTAGTTGTAAACCGTCAGTAAGTTGCACGACGAGACGTTTATAATAGGAACGGTTTTAGCTTACGAGTCGTATAATTATAAAACTACTATTCGTAATTAAAACGGATCGTTTCTCAATTATAGGAACCGGGCGTAAGTAGTTTTCACGAAAAAAGAGGAACAAACATCCATCCATCGTTACCAACAGAATTTTGCGATTATTCTTTAAATAGGATAACATACCGGTACCGCTCCAGCGTTCAGTAGTGTGGCAGTCATAGAATCTTTTATCTCATAGTCTGTGACCACTACCAACGCGTTATTGAATCCCGTGGCTTTTACTGTACGGTTCACGAAGTCTCGTATTTTGATGTTCCTTCAAAACAAAGAACTTTCGTTATATTGGTACTTTATAACTTTTTCATTGCATATACCAGTCGTCAAGTCTCAAACGAATCCCAAAACTTTTTGTATGCATATATAATTATGTAGCTACATACATACATGCATGTGTTATTGAAGTGTCATTTCGACGATAATACTTGCTTAGGTACTTATTTTTATGAGGACTAGTGTAGACAATTAGGTACAGCTATATTTTCTATAGTTTTGTCAATTCCCCAGCCACAAGAATTGAAAATCAACTTATACATATTGGTAAGCTGACTGCGCGTCCTATTCTGGTGCTCGGGGATCTCAGCGCTAAGTCATCTGCGTGGGGATCTCGACTATAGGATCGCTGAACCTCGTACGCTTACCGATATGAGACCCAATGTTACTTGAAAGTAGTCGAGCGTTTGTGAGAAAGTCGTATATTATATTTGAATTAATTTAACAGATATTACTGACAATAAATATTGTTAAAAAAAGTTTAAAATAACTTACATTTTTCCATTAAACATATAGTTATTGTTAAAGCTGCAGCAGTATCCGCGGGAGGTTAGAATCGGTTTGAATAGATCGGTGCAATTATACAGTTTTCGTTCTAAATAGCAGCGTTTTAGAAATCTTTCACATTTTTGAGGTACACGACCCATTAGCTCAGGAACCTAAACAAATGAAAGGTTAAGATATTATCAGGAAGGTAAAACTACTAAGTTGTATTGTGATGTGGAGTATGGAAATAATCAGGATTAAAAACAGCCTGCTCGGTACGGGTTGCAGAAAAATTAACTTACAGCTAAGTTATTAAAATGGCCCTTAATTGCACTGCATTAAATTTGATTTATTAGTAAGCAATACTCATCAAGGTTACGTAGACCTTCTATTAGTAACCCCATTTGGCGTAGGAGAAGAGCAAACGGTGCCCTCTTACGGCTCCCATAAGTTGATCGGAGGGTATTGGATTTGAGCAAGTTCATTTTATCCTCTTTAGCAAGAACCGAGGTGGAGGTGTTTTGTTGAGCACGGATGAGACCAATACCCCGTCATTGCACCTAGTGGTAAGGCCTGATACTAATCTCTTTTTTTTCGAGACAGAGAAATCATCAATAATCGCTGCCAATTCTCGTTAAGGAGTTAGCCAGGATCGCGGGTCAAGCGCGGTAAGGTATCTCGGCTTTTATATAAGTAAGAGTCTGACACTCACTCTCGCAATGATGCCCTGAACGAGATTAGTCATTTGGTGATTTAACCTCTTCCGAAAAAACCTTAGAGGGTAATGGACAGTAACTCATGAAAAACCACCTTTACTTGAGGTCACAGTTACAATATTATAATACAGATTAGATTACTAGTCAAATATACTTACGGTGTATCGATTCTTTTCTAGTAGATCCTGGAAATTTTTCAACCAGTTCCGTGTCTGGTCTGTAGTGTTAATGAATTCGTAGAAACCTAAAACTAGCGGAAGATATGATTCCAAATCAGTTTTGTTGCCCTCGCTGTAAATAATGATAGGTATTGAATTAACACGTTAAGCGCTATGGGGGTTATCTGGGACCTCCATTAGCGGACAGTTTTCTAATGGCCATCAAAGGCTTAATTACACTAGCACTATTCAGGTCGATGTTAAAATTAATGTATTATTTATTTTTTTATTCAAACGTGCTGTTGTATAATCCAATGGTAGCCAATCGGAGCCCCCCTTGGCCCCAACACCATAATGAAAGAAAGAAAGAAAGAAAAATAATTTATTTGGCATGAACAATAAGAAAAAAAATATTGCAAAGTTATGTACAATAATAAGAAATAATTATAATACAACAATAAAAAAAAAGGTACCAAAAATATAAAAAAATAAATAAATAAATAATGGGGATAGCCATAATGCCGCAACCCATTTGCAACTATTTTGGGAGTTCAAGGACAGGGGAGATCGTGCCTTCGTAATCCTCACTCATATGGCGAAACACAACGCTGTAGTTGTTTCACGCCGGTATTCTGTGAGGCCGTGGTATCCGGTCTCTCTGGTCCCCGACTCCGGTCAAGCCGGCCCATTTGTGCCGAAACATTCTTGAATAAATAAAAGAAAACTTGGTGACTCACATAAGAGTAGTGTTGAAGTACTTCAGAGAAGATTTAGTTATCTGGTTTGGGGTACACAGAGTAATGGCTGGGTACGGAAGGTTTTTTATAGGTTCGAACTGGTTCTCGATGGCGACCCTCGTCGGCATTTCCTCAAATCGATTGTAGAGAAAGTAGGTGACAGTAAATGACATTGCCAACACTGATACCATGTTTACTGCCCAGAAGCACCTGTGGAAAGCAAGCTAATCTTTGAGATTGTCCCAAATTTTTCTCTCATATGTCTTATATATTACGAACTTCATTCTTCTTTTCTCACTTTCTCATTCTCTTTTCTCACTCTCATTTTCTCACTTACGAACGTAGGGAAAAAATCTTACCTTCTTCCGCCATGGATGGTCTTTTACTGAGTAAAAACCCCGTTCCTTCTCCAAGTAAAACCGCGGTACTTAATTGCTCTTGCGTCCGAAACCTCAGATATTATGATGGGTACACATTCGTTTACCGTTTATGACAACATAAGGTCCCATATTAAGAAATTCCTTGGACACCCAATTCAGCCCTTCTTCCATTCCTCACCAATCAGCTAAACACCAAAACCCTAACCCCAAAAGAATGGTAACTCCTCCGAAGTTTACCGACCACCTCCGAAGTTCACATAACAAAACCACTCGCTATATCTGTGGCCAGCAATCGAAGAACTCGCAACATAATCCATGCTGTGCATTGTGACAATATAACATATTCTACCTTATATATACCCACCTTGATAATATGTCCGGATAGATATAAAAGTACTTGAGACCTACTATTGTGCTGTTTAAGCAGTAAGTTCGCAAAAGACGCCAAAAGTTGTCCATTTTATTTCGTTTCAAATCTGCTCGACCGTGTAGTGACCACTTATTTATTCAGTTTTTTGTTCAGCCTTTTAAAGCATACAATTGTATCAGTAGTCGAATTAAATATTTACAGCAGTATTTGTCACGAATGGTAATTAATAACATTAATTTTATTTTCTATATCTGATGTAAATAATTAAAGCTTGCACCCTTGTTTCATTTTCAAGGACAAACGGACTGTATATTATTTACGGACATAAATTTATTTGATACCACACCAATAACATATTTTGTAAAAAAAAGAAATTAAAAGGCGCAGCTGTTCAGTGTTTATTTTAAAAAGGCATGCGCAACAGTCTTAGGATTTTCCAAAATATACCTAGGTACCTGGGGCGTGAGTGAGAGTCAAGACTCTTTCTGACTAAAAATCAACCCGTTCCTTTTCCTACTTCAAGCTGAGCCTCGATACATCATTGCGTTTACATCCCAAACCCCGGCTTGACATCAGCCCTAATGGCCCTATTTATGGAGACCTGTTACTCTTTGTGCTTTTAAGTAGTAATTTCGCAGGAGGCGACAAAAATTACCCATTTTAATGAAATTTAATTTAAAATACCATAGAGGATGTGGTTATATCGTAATTGAGTTATACTTATGTTATTATACTTACGTATTGAGATAAAATATATGATTATTGGTTTGTTTGTATTGAATAGGCTCTGAAACTGCATAAATGATTTAAAGGATTCTTTCACTATTGGGAAGTCAATCTTCCCGTCTCTCAATATTCCCGGTGAACATAGCCCATGTATTACGCGGGTGATACCTCGGGTACAACTAGGATTTATTTAAACATTGCGCTTTGTAGGTAATTGGAATAAATGTTACTAGTGTGAATAATTATTAGTATCTACTATTGGGGACTAGCGGCCCACCCGTGCGAAGCGGGGGTGGGCCGCTAGTCCCTATTCCCTAGTCTAGTAACTATCTCGCTAACAATGAGAGGGTCTCTTTTCCCCAGTTTTCCCCTCTACTTTTCTAATATTTTCTTTCATAAGAACCTTCTCCTAATAATAATAAATACAAAACAAAATGATTTGGCTAAATTGGTCCAGCCGTTTTTGAGTTATGCGCTTACCAACACATTTTGCGATTCATTTTTATATTATAGATATAAGTAAGTATGAATTACTATTAGCAGGTACCAATTATTTTAATTTGTAGTTCCGATTATCTGTTTTACGCTATACGCCACGATACAGCTATTAATTTTAAGTTTCAAATTGGACACAAATTAATCTTTACTTTTTTATTGTTTACAGCTTACTCGCTATCTGATCTATCTGCGGTCAATGATGGCGCACGCTTAACCAAGTAAAGTCGTAGTTTGAAGACTCCGTTTGCTAAGTTTGGAAAAATAAACAATCATATATTGATTCTAGACTATACTAGATATTAACACTAGCGGCCACCCGCGGCTCCGCCCGCGTGGATGTCGATTTTACACTTTATCAAGTTCCCGCCTTTATGTTGCAATTTTTCCTGAATTTTCTTTGCTATAAACCTCACGGAGCCCGAACTCTTTCCAATGAATGTGATACCGTGGTAATCGGCTAGAGCGTTCTGAAGTTATAGCGTTTTGAAGGAAAACCTTACTTATTTTTATATACTAGACTAGATTTTGCCCGCGACTATGTTCGCGTGGAATAGGGATTTCCTCGAGTTCCAAACTAGGTAATTTAGGCGTGAAGAAAAGACAGACAGACAGAGTTAGTTTCGCATTTATAATATTAGTATAGAAGTATAAATAGTCATAATCTCCTTTATATTTACAATCTTACTGTTATTATAAAACGCGGCGAGAAAAAAACACTGCATTATAATACACAATAAAGTTTTTTGAGGCGGTTAAATCAACTGATGACTTCTCCCACCCTCGTCGGGGCGGCCTTAGTCGAGGCCATGGTGTGGAGTGAGAGGAACTGAGACGCCGTCTCCTCCTTTTGTGAAGCAGTCATGCTCGCAAAGAGAGAGGCGGCCCGCGTGAGCGAGCAATCGTCCTCCTCACGCCCCAGCAGCCGCAACTGGCGACACTACGGGCGTCGGGGATCAAGGGACGATCTCCGGCCACCGTAAGCACGGGTCTGCGGTCGGCGAGTAAGGGCAGCTCGCCGCCCGACCAGAACCAGGCCCGAGCGTACGGCGCGTAGCGTTCCGCGCGCGCCTCAAAGAGCCATTAGACCACCACAGATGGGGCCCTAAAGGGCTGATGTTCAGCCGGGGTTGCGGGGTAAGCGCAATGAGGCACCGCGACCTCGGCACAGGGCATGAGAAGGAACAGGGGGTTTTTAGTCAGTAAGATTATGACACTCCCTCCTGCCCGGCCCTGGGCGGGAGAAGTCATTTGATGATTTTCCCCTCACAAAAAAAAGCCTCGTCGGGGCGAGAGGTAGTTAATTTAAATCAAATCAAATTTTCAGACTGCTAATTAGTTAAAACCGCCTTTCCTTGCTGCGCGCCCGAGTCGCAGTATAAGTAGGTATATTATTGTGTTTGCACCCGCAACCTTGGGTGAACATCAGCTCTAGATGTATTTTTAGTGTTTTTCCCACCTTTATAATTTGCTTCACAGTTTGTATGTGGAAATGGTTGTTTCAGGTTATTCAAGAAGAAGTTTTATACGTATAATAACATCCATTAAAAATAGTGAAGAAATTTAGTAATAGGGTTGTAACCGTGCAAAATCGGAGTGGGACACTAGTAATAAATAAAAACAATACTTAGGAAAAATGTATAAAGTGATTTTATTGAGAATTTCTCATTAAGTACATATTTTTGTAATAGGTAACAATGTTCTAAAGTTCTGTTGACATTTTGAACAATAAATATACATATATAAGTACAACTATATCATAATATACATATCTATATTTTCAACACAGTTTGTGTACTGTGAATATAATTTTTGTGACTAATGGGAATAGGTAACATAAACCAGACAATAAAATGGCTATTAAACATAATTTTAATATAAATATATATATTATTCGTCAAACAACAAAATATTTTTTTTCTATGACTATTTTTTAATATCAAAGTTACGAATGATTACATTCTGACTTCAAGATTACCACAAAAGAAGTACAATAAATATACTTTTATAGATAATTATACAATTTTATAAATACCACATTAAATTTGGTGGCGTGCGACAAAATACGAACACGCTGTAAATAACATCTATACCTATCTATAATTTTACTTTCACTCAAAGGTTAACAAGTGCATGGACATTTTGGACAGGGTAGACAATAAAATCATATCTGGTTAAAGACCGTAAAATGTTTAAGGGGTTACTCATTACCACAAGTCTCGAAAGACCTTTAAAGATGAAGTACCGTAGTAGGAGTCCAAATTTCGCTTATAATTTTCGAGACAGTTTTTTTCTGACATATGGCTGTTAATTAATATCCACACTCGGCCTTTTGGTGCTTAGGGATTTGAGAATTCGAGATGGGGGGAAATTGTGTCAAAATTTTATTCAAACAATTAAATTTTATAGAAACTATAAAAAAATCATACAAAAGTTTACATCTTAATTAAGGGTTGAAAAATTTCTGGCCGGTGAGTAACGGAGACATTTGAATAAAGAACGTAATATGTATTTATAAGTTTTTATGAATTATCTGCGCATAAGTTTATCGAGTACTTGTACGAGGGTGGAATAACAGGCCTTAAAGGTCAAACTATTGGTTGTGTACCCCTTAAAATGTATAGTCAGTTACCATATCACTAGTTGGTAGTTATACCATAAACAAACATTCATAAGCTTTTAATTGCCGACAAAAACGAATGAAGGCGAATCCACCATTACGACAGACATCATTGTCTGAGACGGCCGTCAATGTATTAAACCCAGTGCACTCGAACCTGTCAATCCTAACTCTACGAATACTAAAAAATAAAATATTTATTTTTTCAAATTACTTACTTATCACATTTATATTTTTTTTTGATGAAGCTTACAATAAAGAGATACATCTTCACACTTTATAATTACTATTTTTTATATAATTAAAGTAGAGCAGGTACTATTTTGGCTTCAGTGAAAAGATTTTTATTATGGTAAACGTGTTTCGCAATAGTGCGATTTTACATTTGACAAATTTTAAAACTCAAATAAGTAATAATATATATTTATTAAAGTTTACATTTAAAATTACTATAGGTACATATAATGTATATTTTATATATAATTAAAATATAGAAAATTCAACTTATTTTTTAAATGTAAACATCGCACTATCGCCAACTTTTCTATGCTATGTTTTATATAAATTCTGGATGTATGAATATATTTGAAATCTTATGCGAATACGATTGGTCATCTTAATAAGCTACTGGTATTTATTTATGAAGCTATAATGATTATATCGACGTTGAGCCGCAATTACTGAGCAACTCTGAGTATTTTTTGAAAGGGTAATTTAATTATATGTGGGTATTTAATATTAACATACTGAATTATTGAATCTTGATGTGGAATATAGTAATCATATAAAAGTTTAAGAAACCTATACATATAATTATAAATTTATAATAATATACTGAATACTGTTATGTAATTATAAAGAATTCAAGAACAAATAGTTTTATTTTTAAAACCGTGTTAGTAAAGAAATGTTTTATGTTTGTGATTAAGTATTTCTATAAGCAGAGTTTAATAGATTTAAGTGATATTTCGAAAAATGACTGTTTTTGTAATAAAATTTAATTAACACACAACTCTTATTTTTCTTCTATATATAGTTTACTACACCTAATGGGGGCCATAATTATCTTAACGTTGACGTTTGAATAGCGTCTAACAACGGTATACAATGAATAGCAGTTTCATTTATATAGTTTTCACACACGTTTTAAACTTAAAAAACACAGCAAGAACAATGCGAGAAATATTAATAAAGCTTACATTATAACTTTTAAAACAGAAGTGCGTGGTTGTATTTAATACATTACAAATTTAGCCCACGCACATACAAAAACACGTGCTAGAATAATATCCATTAACCTATTGGAAACTATTTGGTGAATAAAGAACACATTAAAATTTATTTAAATTATTTATCTATGAAATGTGATTTTAATAACCCTACCGTTCTATCGGAGGTTTCAGTATCCTCGCTGAATAGCGATAGTTTTAACAACATCGTAAGCAAAATTTTTATTACATTTGTCAATTATATAATACATATATTTTATTCATACAATAATATATTAGTATAAATATTTAATGCATAGGCACACTACGCCTAAATCGTGGGGGTACTAAGTCCCTCTTTTCTTTGTAAATTTCCTATTTATAAGTTATAGGTTAATAAACATTATATGTATATAATTTATTTTGATATACATAAATATATAGATACATAATCACATTATAAGACGTGTCGTCAGCTAAACATCCAATGTTGGTGTTTATAACAAACTATTTTATAATATTATTAGAATTTATAACATCTGTTTGATCCGCATTTAAGCCAACATTTTATCTTTCGCGTTCAATGTATATTATTATAATAATTCACTTTATTATAATGTATATAAGTAATATATAATTTAAATAATAGGCATGCAGGCATTCAGTTTGAGTAATTTATTGCTTATTTATAATTTCAAATGCATATTTTTACGTCTAGGTAGGTTGGTATGTGGTTTTTCAATTATAATTCAATAAGTAAGTAAATCTAATTGTAAACATGTTTTAAATATTCGTATCGAATTTTGTGTATATATTTCGTGCGTTTTGTCATAAATTGACGTTTCCTATTTGAAATGATCATGCAATGAATACATTTATGTAGGTATGTAAAATTCTTAATTAATTATTTGGACATTATTATTATATTATAATAACAGATAAATAAGTAATTTATATGTAAAATAGATTCGTAATAAAGTCAACTACATTCGTAATTATATTTGAAATAATCGTTAACTTCGTATTGATTTTAAAATAGTAAATATTTAACTGTTACGCACAGGAATAATACTGTATTAGGAACGTACTGAAAGTAATTGATGACAAAAAGGACAATAGATATAATCTATATACTTATCCACTTCTTAAAAAATGCCAAAGCTAATATGTATGTAAAATGTTATGAAATCCCGAGTTTTATATAATCTATCTTATAATGCATGATTGAATAATGGGTCCGTACCAGTTACATACAAAATTGTTCCTTACCTCATAATATACGAAGAGTATAATCAACACATTCTAGAATAAATTTCAGTGTCATACATCAAGGTACAATATAATATATCAATATTCAATAAATATCCTTTCTAGTATCATTATTCTATCTCACAAGTATTGTGCGCTCCAAGTCTTCATCATCATCATTATAAATACTACAAAACGTTAACGTTCAAACTTCCGAAAATGAGAAATTAATATTCTAAAACATCATCGAAAACAAGCATCAGCAAAGAGTATCCGGTTTAAAAGAGTACCGCATTCAAACCTTACAAATCCCGTTCTCACTAGATACAGATAATATAAGCTTTTAATATAATAATGGAGAATTATATTTTGAGATTCGACGTATCGCTTGTACGCGTCTACATCACTTACCAAACTCAGTCGAAAAGTGCTCGTAGTGCAACTGAGCGAAACATCTCGGCACGAGCGGAGACATCGCTCTTCGCTCGGTGCTCCTCTCGGCGGCAAAGCAAACCGCGTGCTAACAACGAAAGCGACACGCACCGGACATCAACAGGGTGCGGGGGCGGGGCCCGGGGATCCGGGGCCCAGGCTGCCGGGGCCTGGGGGCCGCGGGGAACAGAAGCTCAGGCGTGCGCGCTGGCCGCGCGCTACGTCACCGCGCGTCAGGAGTCCAGCAACACGTGCCAGCGCTGGACCTGCGCAAAGATTGAACTTCATACCAACAACGCACTTCAGTGACACATGACCTTCATTGGGAGGAAATTTCAAACAAACTATACCTATCTGGGTATTTGGAAAAAAAGCAAAATCGTATTGAATTTATTGGAGAACTTTAAGTAAATAAAATAGGGAGAAACATTCAATGGAGAATGGCATTACATAGACATTTAAAGACAAAAGTAAAAATAATCCCAATCTTAGACTTCCAATTTTTATTTCCTCATTATTCTTAAGCCATTCTTTTATGGTTGACCAGGAATGACTTCAAAGTTGTCTACCCTTAAGTGTAACCCTTTTTTGGCAATTTGCAGGATATTACCTGCTCGCCCTGGCGCTCACACAGTTCCTGCCAGTGCCTCTCTTCCTCCCGGCCGGAGGGGCTGTGTCCCAGGGAGAACCAGCCCACCATCTCGTTGCGCTTGACGCTGCGTCGCCACCACACTGACACCATCAGCGTTACCTCCGTCAGTTGGAATAGAGCTACCTGGAGAACGAACACATTAAATTGATTAGAGCTCCAAAAACGACATCATCAGGTTGGTGTTCTTGAACTAAATAGTAGTTCGTATTTCAAAAAAATTTTGAAAAGGAAAATACATTTAATGATTTTCCTCCCATTTCTTCTCCTGATCCATATAGTGGTGACACAAAACGTAATAATTAAAAATATGTCAGGTATAATATTGTCTATTGCACAATTGGTGGGCAACGGTTAAGGGCTGATTATTAATTTGACAGTGATACAGGTACTTCTTGCAATATCACAGGGTTACACCATGGCAGAAAAGCAATGTTAAGTATGAGACACTGGGTCTTGTCACTGTCCTTTTTATTCAAATCAAATTCTTTATTTCAAATTGACCACAAAAGGCACTTTTGAACGTTAAGTTTTTCTTTTATTTTATTATTTTCTTTATCCCATAAGTAACATCATCATCATCAGCCTGATGTGGTCCACTGCTGGACATAGGCCACCCCAATTGCACGCCACTGAGCGCGATGTTCAGCTGTTTTCATCCAACCACTGCCAGCCACCCTGCGGATGTCGTCAGTCCACCTAGCTGGAGGGCGCCCTACACTACTTTTGCCTAGCCGCGGTCTCCACTCTAGAACACGTTTACCCCAACGGTCATCGGTTCTTCGACAGATGTCACCTGCCCACTGCCACTTCAGTTTGCTAATCCTTTGGGCTATCTCGGATAACTTTAGTTCTCTGTCGGATCACCTCGTTTCGAATACGATCCTTCAGAGATAAGTAACATAATTAAGTAATTACTGACCTGAAATATGAAGAGCTCCTTATACAACGGGTTAGACTGAGCCCGTCGAGTGGTGGACTTGCAGCGCCCCATCTCCATGCCCAAAGAGCTGATGAGGCACAGCTTCACGTAGGTATCCGGAGCCTTATTGGGAGACAGCTTGCGGAAGTGGGTTCCTTTTATTACCTTGGAAAAAATATATAAATGATTTTGCCAATCGTTCATTAATTCCACAGCTGAATATTAAGAATATTCTAAAACGTGTGGTTTAAACTGATATGTATGGTATTTTACGGATTTTTTTAGTAACAAAATGCAAAAATGTTATCTTGTTATTATAACACCTAACAACTCTTTCTAAGAGAATAGACAATTGGCAAGTTTTCTCTGTCAAAAAGAAACTATTTCAACGCACAAAACAACAAAAATACTAAACACCAATTATACCTTCCTTCATTATAATATACTTCGATATACTTTATTTTTTTGAGAGGGGAATATCATCAAATGACTTCTCCCGTCCAGGGTGGGGCGGGAGGGAGTGTCAATCTTTCTTAATGACTAAAAACCTCCCCGTTTCTACTGCTGCTTTAAACCGAGGTCGCGGTGCTTCACATTATGACTTCACATTAAAGCAGATATAGCATTTTGGTTTTAGACGTTTCTTTAGAATTTGACAAGATGGAAACTATCCTATTATTAGCATTATAGTCGAAGAACCTACCTCAACAGAGAGATGTCCTGTGGTGGAATTGTATTGCAGTCCGAGCAGAAGTTCTGGAGCTGATCTGGTGCTGCAGCAGGACGATGCAGAGTCTGACCGCGCCAGACTGCACGCTTCACCGCCAGGACCTGCTCCCGGCGTCGTCACCGTCGTTATAGACGATGGACTCGCCAGCACACCAGACATCGAGTGGTTTAGCTCCAATTTTGGAAACTGGTTGAACAAAATTATAATATACATTCTACTCATCATGTCGGAGGTCTAGTCAGTCAGGGTTCACATGACTGAGATTTAAAGATAAGTACAGGAAAAAGGCGTTGTGGATCTAAATTTTTAATACTCTTTAGAACTATGAGAGCAGGGTGGAAAGTTCCGCGTCTTACTCCATTGAAAAGGGTTAATCCTCCGACCGGGCGAGGTGATCGTGCCTGGCGGGCTACTGCCCGAAGGTTGTTGTCGGAATTTTGTACCTGTTCTAATTGGGTAGTTTCCTAGGTCAAAAATAAATAAATTTGACGTTTCAATACAATAAAATATTGAAAAATATCTATACTTTTATTCATCGATCGATCGATACACTAAATTTAAGTTATTTTTTATCAATTTTTTTAAGAAATAAGTAAACTATTTGACTCGAAAATTCTATGACGTCATAACTCAGTGTTTCGTAGAAATTACATAGAAGTGTCGTTTTTGACATTTGGATAAAAGTATTGAATTTGACTAGTTGGAAACTACCGTATTGTGTAGACTCTTGAACGTGGTTGGTGCTGTTGCTGCTTGTTGTAAGATAGATGTCGCTACAAATGTTTTTTTCTGCTTTTTTTACAGATCCTTATTACCAACTTGTTTTTTAGGTCTATCAAACTTCTTATTTTGTACGAAAGCTTTTCATATTAGGTGCAAAAATTAAGGTATATAAGTTTACCTTGCTAACTTGTAAGCTAGGATGATGTTGGCGCGGAGTCAGCTGTATCCACATGCCGTTTTCCATCTCCAGACTGAGCGAGGCAAAGCTGACAGTTGCTTCGCCCAATAGCCGTTGACGACGCATGCGCTCGCAACCGTATACACGTATACGCAATCCGAGGCCGTGTACGTCCTCTGTGAAAAGTAATGTCAAGTTTAAGAAAATGATTCAGATTTTTTCATAGAAAACTATGAGAATATGTTTGGTGGTTTATTATAAGGTTTGTTGTGAAGAATATTCTTAAACTTTACCTTTTGAAGCTTCAAACTCTCCTCGTTCGGGTAAGTATTCAGAGAAAGTCATATTTTTGGTAAATTTGGATTTGAGGATTTTTGGATTTGGGATGGGGCTGGGGATTGGACCTCCAGTGAGTTCCCTCACAAGCAAAACGCAGCACAAGCGTTTTATCACACTGATTTCCTGTGTAGTGACTGTACCTTTAGTTGAATAATCATAACATAATTTTCTAGTAATATCTCGCCAATATTGTTATTACAATGTATTATTATATCTAGTTTATTCAAAGTATTACGATAATACTTCAAGTCCGTCCACAAATAGCTCGGAGTTTCCAGAATTAAGGATAAACAAACTGATTTGTGGAATAATACATTATATCAAGGTATCTGTGTATGATGTAGTTTTAGTGTATACTGGCTATTTATTGTGTTAACGTGTCTCGACCGCCTGACGATTGAGATTATTTAAGGATTTTTTTCTTGTTATATCACTTATAGAACAGTTTACAATGTTCATGTTTACATGGGAATAAAAATTAATTTTTGTACTAATTTTATTGACATTAACAAGGTAAAAGATGTCTGGTCTATATTATGTCCATAAATCATTACTATAATCTGTCTCTATGCAAAATTTCATCCGCACGGTTCAGTAGTTTTAATGTGACAGGGTTTAAAACATCCTCCAATCATCCAACATTCATCCACCATCCAACTTTCATCCATTTCGCATCCAACCCATCAACATCAGCGGCCATTCACAATCTACAACTATTCTGTGGGTTTTCTGTACATAGAAAGGTTTACCACAATTCATACGTTTAGTAGTCATCATCATCATCAGCATATGGGTGCTCACATGGAGAAGTAATAAAGATTGTTGATTAACGTTGAATCATTGAGCTAAGCTTAAAAGAGTTACTCAAGTTATTTCTGGACAAAAATATAATACTGAATTACAGTGCTCATAATACTGAGGAGTAACCAACACGCTTTCTTAAGGCGGATTAGTGATTTTAAAATCATAATGTAAAATTATAAATCCAGTTTTCCTCACGACGCTTATCTGAAGGACTGATCAATTATCTATCTAGGTCACTAGCGCGATGTGGTGGGGTGTTCCACAGGGGTCGATCTTAGGTCCGCTCTTAGGGGTGACGGCCTCACCGTAATTTGTTACGGCATACTGGTGCTAGTAAACGGCTAACACAGGCAGCGGCCAACTTAATGGCAAGAGAGGTTGAGTCGTTGACATGTTGAGATCCGGTAGTTGGGACTCGAGGTGGCGCGCCAAAGTCTGAAGTCATGTGTTTTCATGACTGTCGAAACTCAAATCTGGATAGGCCCGGACTAACGGCAGGAGGGGTAACCATGGGCGTGGAGTCGACGATGAAATATGATGATGAAACTTTGCGGAGCATATTCGACGCTTGGCTTTCAAACTGGAATTGATCGGCGGGGAAGACCTCTTGGACTTAGACTTAATTCAGGCCTTGGTGCAGACCAAAAGGAACTGGGAAGTGGTCTCCTCTCATCGTAAGTAATGCTCGCAAAAAAAGAGGCGGTTCTTCACGTTCTAGCTACCACAGGATACATTCAAGATGTATGAGCAATCAGGCGTACTAGCCTTTTTGCCCGTGTTTGACTTACCCGGATTGATCTTGTGGAACACAAAGCTCTCCATGTACTGTGGATTCTCGCCATTTCTTATTTTCGATTTGTATTTTTGTTTTTTCAGTGGCATCAATACAACTCGAACCTGCAACATAAAGTAAACCAGTTGAATGTTATTCTGATATTTGTTGGGTTACGTTAACTAAATAATGTACACAAAATCTGTCAAACCAAATATTTATTATGACCTGAAAAACCCTATTAATATAGAACGGGACTTACTTTTACTACGTAATAAAATACCTCATCGCGTACACATTGTGTATAACACTATCCATACATGTGATAAAATAAATTTTTGTAAACAAGAACTCTTCTCTGAGCCATTATAATGTATAGGAATATAATAATTTGGAGGATCGGCGGTTTAGGGTCATAGTTAGTTTGCCGATTTTTTTTTTGAATACTTACCTTAACTATCTACGGTCCATTCCTCCACAGCTCATCCTCAATCCTCAAATTTCTATCTTTTAATCCCTTATAAACCACAAGAGGCTGTCAACGTACAAGGTCCTAGATTCCGTGAGCAGCGCCGATTGCTTAGGTATAGGTAATCAGTCTACTCGTTGGCCGGCGCAATCCCGTGGCTAGACGTAGTTTGACAATTAAGTTGGTTAATCAATATTAGTCACGTTTCGACATTACCTGGCTCTGCAGTATCTGTCCCTGACTCCTCTGCGGTAAGGTCCTCGCCTGCAGAATGTGCACAGTCATGCTGCGGACCGGAGCGTCATAAAGCAGCGTTAGCTCCAAGAACCCTCGCACCTGAGAAATACTCTCGGCGCAGAGGAGGGACGTATCCTGGTGATGTGCAAAAGTTATGACTTTAGTGTATTATGGCAGAGGGTCATTCCCGCAGATGGTCATTCCCTCTTCCACCTAGCAAAAAATAAATGACTACTAAAACCAATGACTTAGAATTTTCCGGACTGCGTTTTTGTGAGGCGAGTATGAGTACCAGAGCCTCACCTCAAGTCACATCCAACAAGGTCAGTCTTACTGACTTGAAATTACAACGTTCCTCCTTTTGCCCCAAGCCTTTTAAAAGCACGTGTTATCAAGATTCTAAGATTTTATTACGGTAGCGGCCCGCCCCCGCTTCGCTCGGGTCCAACTATCTCGCTATCAAAAGGTCACTTTTTCCTAATCTTCCCCTCTACTTTTCTAATATTTTCTTTGATAAGAACCTTCTCCTGACAATAAGAAACACAACAAAAAAAGAATAAGCAAAATTGGTCCAGGCGTTGTTGAGTTATGCGCTTACCAACACATTTTACGATACATTTTTATATATAAGAAGATATGTATAGTTGGTTAACAGTAGACCAAATTACATTGTCTTAAAAGGCCAGTACCATGCTCGTCACTCCTCTGCGGTCCTCTCTAGAATAAGAATTGAAGATTGCTTGCCATCCGTTAAACTGCCTTCTTATTTGTCGCCAAATTCCATAAAAAGCTTCAATCCACTTACATTGTGCGCTATAACATCGCTGTCCACACTGCTTTGTGCCTCCAGCGTATGGATGTACTCCGCTCTCTTCGGCACCACCTCATCGATCCTGGTCTCTCTCAGCGCAGTCTCCCGAAGACTTGTCTCCCGCAACTTGTTCTCTACGAGTTCCACATCCAGCTTCGGAGCTGCTGCATTCTCGTTCTTCTCCTCGTAGTGACATTCCACCTCCTCCTTGTCCTGGGGAGTTTAGAAAGAGAATGAATGGATTCTTCATCTATATGGGCGAAACTCATCACCAGTGTTACCTGTTATTTCTGTAAAAGTGTGTGGTGTAAAACTCTTTATTTAAGATACTTGTCTATATTAATTAAACAGTTTTATTTATATTAGTAGAACGTCAGGTGTGTTTAAAATATGTTTTTAAGCTTCGTTCCTCGCTCAGATAGGGTGAGTTTAACTTATAGCTTTTTCTAAGCACTGACAGAATTCAGCAGGTTTTTTTATATTACCAAGTAAATCAAAGATGGTGCCTTGTCAATTGAAACACACACTGAAAGTAAAGTGTTTTTGGACAAAACATATCTAAAAATCTAGAAGTAAATGCATAAGTAAGTAATATGAAAAATTAAAGTTTAGATACAATTAAATAGAAAAATGAGAATAAAATTTACCATGCTATAATGGAATAAAACTAATGATATACTACGTAGACAATGATAAAGCTATCCTAGAGTCCTACCGTGAACAATATTTATTGAACTCTCATTTGGAATTCATGAGATCCGCGCAAGTGGTTGAGGAAATCTCCTGAATCTAAGATATTCCATTTAGAAGTGGATATTGCCTCACAATTTGAGACGATCTTAAGATAATGGCAATAAGGACTAGATATATTTAAGTAAATTGTATTTTAACACGGTTCCGATTTCCATTTGGAAGGTACGAAAACCGGTAGCTATATTTATTTAATAGTGTAATACAGGTAACTGGAGGATAGTAAAATCGGTAGTGATGCGCTCAGGATATTGCGCAGTTGGGAGTTAATTGGTGTAAATTATTGCAATCCCGGTTATTTCCGGACTGCAGTGGCGTCCGAATTAATGTGCCTAACTGAGGCGGCCTAAATACCAGGCTTACATGAAACTTTATTAACAGTTAAGCATTGAGGTGAGTCATACAAAACGAGTGAGATTTTAAATATATCCGCGTTATTCTTACTTATCTCTATAGTAATGATTATATTAGAAGCGTGAAACTATTGAAAGGAGAATAAATACAAATGTCGAACGGTCTACTGTCTCACCTGTTGGATGCGCAAACGCAGCTCTTCATCCGAGTCGGACGCCTCGAACGTGAATATTCGTTCGGGGTAATGGTTCGGTTTCGACAAAGCATCTATAACAACACAGACGTACGGACAACGTCAATCGATGTACAATATTGCCCTAGCCCGAGCTAAACTACGCCAACTCTTACTTCATACTACTAAGTTCTAGCATTATAGTCCTCTACGACTTCTAAGTGTGTAGACATACACCTAGATATAACAGGTATAAAGAAATTAATACGAGACCTTGGTGACGCACACGACGTCCTTGGGGGTACATTAAACACTAAATTAATGAATATTACTTCTTCTATACTACACAATGACGTTCTCACAAATGACTTCGCTCTATAACGAAATCAAATGTACCTAAGTACATCATTTATTAATCACAAAATCAATAGCCACAGGTTTGTTTATAAAGGTAAAGCATTTCACATTTCTATGCTTGGAATTTATAGGGGACAATATTGTAACGTGATCATTTTACATCTATTGTGTTAGCAACAAAGAAAACTTCGGTACCGTTCTAATGAAATATTTATTAACGACATACAGTAGCTTAGTAACACAAAGCAAAACAAAGAGTCGGTACTCACCAAACTGAGCATTGTCGAGGGGAAGACAGGGGGCAGCGACGTGCGCGTTCACAGCGAGGATGTCATCGCAGCACTTGCGCGTGAAGACGGCCGTGTAGCACCAGCGCCGGCCCAGGAACAGCAGCAGCACCAGCACCACGACCGCGAACGCCGCTACCGCGCTTATGTACGCGGTCGCCTCCACTGCGCACACCAACAACACTCAGCACCTCGCTCGCTAGCCACACTCCAGCCCTCACAACCATGTTTACCATTAGACGGGTTGATGACGCCGATGCTGGCCACCATCCTGGCTCACTGGGAGCCCGCGGGCCGCATCGCTGCGCGGTCCGCTCTCACGCTCCACACTCACGGTTCCCGCTTAACGTGCAAGAGACATTCGACGAATATCTCCGTGGTATATAATGCGACAATAAAGCGAACCGAGGAAAATAATTGGGACGTGTTGGCACGGTCGGGCTGTCAAAGTGCTGCACATGCGCCGTACGCGAGGGGCACGACGGGGCGTTTGGAATATTCTGCGCGGCTATAGGACGAAGGATTCAGTTACAGGTGTACTGTGTACGTATACACGTACGTATAGCGAGGAGCTTGTCGTCAAGGCCGAGGGCGGCACGTGCCCTCGCACCCTTCGGCTATACATATACAATTATACCTAAGTAACAATATAAATATGCTTACTGGACCTGTCAAGGTTTGCATAAGTTATGACTTACAAAGATTAATAATGTTTAAAGGCCAACAACAGTAACATTATTACCTAATGTCGCGTCGTTTGAATAATATATTGTACAATACATTTGCTCGAAATAGTTTAACGATATACACGATATGCGATATACCTACGCACTTGCGGTAAGTATGTGCCTACATGGGCTACATGTACCTCGCTCCAATGTTGCAATTAGGACATTGGAGATCTGCCAGAGCTGTAGCTGCGGCGCAATACGTCACTCACACTTCAAACCAGCGAGGATTTGTGTAAATGGAATTAAGCTGCACATCAGTAGGAAAGCTTTTAGTAAATTGGATATTATTCAGGTGCTTTGCATCTAATGGGGGATTTATTCAACGATACTTCTCATCTAGCAAAGAAAACTATTTGTTCGTATTTAAGTAGGACAGATAGAGACAGATAGAGAGACCTAGTAAGATATTAGGGTGCATATTGCGACCTAGTAATTTATAAGGGATTTACTTAGATATGTCCATTAGATATATCCAGATAGTCCATTTAGTAAGTTATGGATCCGACATTTTTTTCGTATGACTTTTGTTTTGTGAGTACCATGTCAGAAGTTGCCAAGGGTTTTAATTTTATTAAATAAATTCTTTGATAAGTATTTAAATACGTAATTATAATACGGTATCTTAATAAATAATCGACAAGCGAATCTCGTAAAAATAGGACCGTAATCCAAATTGACAAAAAACAATTGAGTTCTAGGAAAAATGGCTAGGTGCTTTTTAAATAAGAAGGGAGTTGCATGTGCCCTTGTTATTTAAAAAGGGATAACTCTTAAAACTTCGATGCAATGAAAATAAAAAAGTACGTATAATCTAATTTCATGATGGCCATAAAGGACTTTGACTTGAGTTCCTAATAGAAATCCTATAATCATCTTTCTTCATTAGTTAATCGTAACAGATTATAAAATATAATCCCTCTAGTTAGTTTTTCTATATTAAAAATAAACTATATTCTGGTTATCATTTATCTATATAATGATTTTTTGTAGGATAAATTATTATTATCAAGACTATACATCCATACTTTTATTTAATTAATACTTTACTATGATTAATACTGTTGTCCTACCTATGTTAATTTAATTAGTTCTAGTTTTAATTTCTAATATTTTGACTGTTTATACGCATAATTTTTAGAATGTTGGTTAGCTCGTAACTGGCTAATGTATGTATATGACCTACTGCCTATAACCAATACTTTAAACCACTTTGTATACATAAGCTGTGAGCCTACCTTATAATAAATAAAGTAATCTCATGTCATCAGAACTGTAAAACAGACATATTTGTTTATATAACTCATAGATGCTGTTATTGTGTACGAGTAATATGTCAAATGTCAAATTCAGTGTAGACCAGTAATAATTATTTAGATCATCATTATTTCATGAGCCTCTTTAAGTTGTAAAATATAAAACAAATGAATCACTAAATAATTTTATTATTTTAGTATGGGTCTAATTGAAATAAATGATTTTATCTTTTGAGTTTTTTTAACCGTCGCAATGTCTGAAATAGCCACTAAGTACTAGAATATGGAACGTATTTTTTCATATATGTTGTACCACCTGGTTTATCGAGCACTTTTATAACGGTAGTGACATAGGGCGCTTAAAAAGAACATTTTGTTCATTGGTTCTTTAAAAACTATCTACTTATGTTCCTCTTTTCTATATTTTCAATATTTTAATACTCCAAAAAAGTGTAAAACGTTCTTAGTTTTTTTATTTTTTTATATTTTTATTATTTATCGTAGATATTAACGATATTGTGTCTTAGTTAAATAAATTTAGTTGGTTTATATTTATGATTTTATGACATATATGTATTGCCATTTCAATAAGGTTTTTAGTGTTGCAACAATAAGTGGCTCAAACAAGAACAGATAATCCTAATGGATGGGTAAAAACGGTTTAAAAAATAATAATAATAAAATCAACAATAAAACACCACATTAATATTTTGAAAATGTTTTTTTTATTAACACTTACATTTTTACAGCGCTCCTAGCCAACAGAGTAATACTATAAAATGAATCGGTGTAAAGAACTGTCGAACGCAAAACAATGTTAGTTCTACAGTGTACGATAAACAAACCGCTTATAAAGATCAGATCATTACAATAATATCATCAACGACTATTGTCAGTGAGATGTACATCGTTCTCATCAAACAAGCACAGAAGGTCACCCTAAAGAAACGAACTTCATTTAAATCTATAAACATTTCATATAATTTAGATTTTATTAGTCGCTATAATGTTATATTTTACTTTTGTAACCATTATTATAATGTTATATGTATTCGTTACGAAAAATTGAAATGAATCGCTCCACTTGGTCCTCGGCGGTGCGTGAGAGCCTCGTGGTGGCCGCTCGCGCGCTCGGCGTACGATCCTGCCTACCGCGGCCGCGCAAGGGCCAAGTGCCGACTAAAACAAGATCACTCTATCATAACTGTATAATTTTAAAAATTTCTAATTACGCATCCCTACGTTTTGTTTATTATCTTTTAATTAAGAAATAAAATCTTACGTAATTACCATGAGCAGCCTATTTTAATAAATTTGACAAAATTCGCTAATAATCTGATTATTTTAGAAAAGAAAAGCGTCGGGTCGGGTCCGGTCCGGGCCGGGCGGGCCGGCGGGCCAACAGTAGTCGACGGCAGTGCTGTACGTACGTAGCGGTGCGACGCGCGCGCACCGCCCCGCGCCTCTAAGCGATCGCGACTGTGTATGCTTTATTTATCTACGTTTACAATTGAAAATACGGCATCAAAATTTCAACTACCTACCTAACAGTAAGCAGTAGTACACTAAAACTCAGGCACTCCACATCGACCTCTCATACACCATGCACCCGATCGAATCTTCAACTAAACTTTTTCCACTCGAAAAATTCAACTTAAATCTAATTCACTTAAATTATAATAATAATAATGGCTTCTTAACTGTTAATTTTACAACAAATGCGTTTCGTTGGCCGCCGAGCACGGAGCGCGGCGGGCGTCATACTTCTGCCCACTCGATTCACGAACGATGAACTACCGCTAAACGATAATTTATTACTTATTACATAAGTATGTGAAAAACAATTTATTAGTATTAGTTTAATCTATCTTATAATGTCATCAGTGTCACTGAGGGCGTACTACTGTAACATGAATCCGAGCCGGCGGCCGCTTGCGCGAGACGGGAGCGTGGCGCGACGGGCCACTCATCCAATATACTATAGAGACTCAACTAATATCGAAAGATTCATCAAATTGTCGCGTGACAGTCGAGATACTCGAACGTTTTAAACGATCTCGATACAAAAATAACATGATTCACGATTTCAAATAATATGTGTATTATATTTTTTATATCATCACAAATATCAACTTCATTCTCCACTGTGCATATATACATACATAGTTCGTTAGAAACGAGAGTGTAGAGTGTGCGGTGGCGAGGGGCCGGCGCCAGCGCAGCCGCGTCCTCTCGGTCACATTACGCAATGAAACATCGGAAACATCGGAAACATCGGAAACATCAGAATAACATAGAACACTCGACAGGTACAGACACAGGTGCCCCTGTGCGGAGCGATGCGGTAACAAGCGGTGAGAAGCGTACACGACAGCGATTACACATATACCGGAACGGCACCGCAAACCTCTGTCAGTCTGATATAACAACACAAATGAACTTTATGTACGCAGTAACTAACTGATGCACGACGGTGTGGACAGTGGTCGGTGCGGTTTAGTAGTAAGTCTCTTGTTCGAGCCAGCCGCCGGGGTTGCGGCGCAGGTAGAAACGTCGGATCTCGTCGTAGATGAAGATCGACAGCATGAATGGAATGGCAGGCAGCCACCACACGAACCTGGGGGTAAAGAAGACCATCGTCAATACTAGCTTCAATTGGCCAGGTTTTGTGGCACGTAGCGTTGTGGTCCGGTGTACTCACTTCAGAGGGTACATCCTCAATCCCTTGTCCATTCCAGGCGTGTAAGAGAGGAATGCAGCCAGCGCGGTTTCGAAGATCAGACCGAAGTTGAGAGCCCAGTTGCGCATGCCCTGGTGGATGATTGAGTTACGGCGCGTCTTGCAAATGATCAAATCAGCCCATTGCACCACCACGATGGAGACGAAGAAAGCAGTGTGGCAGGTGAACTCGAGAGCCTTGCGGTCGCGGTAAGTCTGGAAGTGGGGGAACAAAAAAATATAAAGTAATGTACAAATAAAATGTAACAGTTGACAAAGACAAAGTTTAGGGTCAATTTAACTGTACGAAATAAGCAGGTAATGCGGTTAATTTTTTAACTCGTCCTGATAATGAGCACATTTCCTGTACAGCATATTTCTCATTGTATAATGTGATAATTGAGGAAGTGTTAATAATGAAATAAACGCACCCATTCCTGTCCGTAGGAGTCAGTCAAATCGTTGATGGCCTTCGAGTCCCATTGCTTTCGGATACCGAAGAGATGCATCGGCAGGAAGCCGTTTTCAGCCATGATCACGAAGTACACGAAGAAGCCGGCAGCGGCTTGGATCATGCCGATTTGGCCGTACGCCATCGAAATAAGCCTGTGTACACCCGGGCACATGTCACATTTTGAACTCATCGCCTTGACGTTGCCAGTTACACACATTTATACTTTTAATGGCCAACTAATTTTGTTTCATTGTGATATTTGTTTGCAATATTTTTATGTGCTAATTGGTTTATTATTTTATGTTAAGCACTTTTTGAGTTTTGATTAAGCGTCAAATTTCATAATTGCTATAAAGCTGTTAGTTTTGTTTTGCAAACATCACCATCTATATGGCAATCAAGACTTAAATACTTTATACACCAATGTTCTCTTTGATTTATAAAATTAGTAATCGTATGTTTGTGTATATTATATTATTAGTCTTATTTGCCATAAGTAGAAGTTAACCAATTCAATTGATGATTTGAAAAATAGAATACTTATTGCTTTATTCCATTTGAACCAGTTTAGATATGAATATTTCTTGTATCCAGATATTTTGCAATATATTCTCTTTTTCAAGTCATTGTCATTATTATAATAACAGGGTTAAGGTACAAATTCCATCGAAGATTCACACAAGCATGCAGAGGAGAATTCAACTATTTGGCGAAGAAAGCTCAAGCGATTTTTTGTGTTAGAAGTAAAAAATAAAAAAAGAGTTCTGGAAGAATAAGCAAGAAGAGTTAAATAAATATAAAAGAAATGTAAAGATTGCTATACAAAATTGCCTAACCGTGGTGTTTGTATAATCTGTGGGGCTTGGAAGCGCTATTAGCAGTGTGATCTGCAGTACAACGTGCTCAACTATAGAGAATATACTACATAATATAAAACAATAGAGAAAAATATATACATAGTAACAATATAAAAAATAAAAATAATGTTACAATATAAAAGATACTCGATGTCACCTAAGACATTCCTTCAACAAAAACGTTTGTTTAAAATATATTAATATTAGTAATGAACCATTCGACCACCACTATTCTACTTTGGCTAACATGTAAACTCACACACAATAATAACCACTAGTGCGTTCTCTATGACAGAGACTAAAACATTTTCTAATTTGTTCGCTAAACGTGCAACTTTTTTATTCGACACAGCATTGCATCGCTAACTTTAATAATTTAATTTCTAATATTGAAATATGGAAGAGTGAAGATTATACAGATAAAGAGAGTACTAGCTTTCTAGTTCTAGAGACTTCTAAAGTAATTTTGGATAAATCTATAGAAATTTAAACAAGGTAATAGATTTTAAATAAATACTGTTGCTATGAAGAATTCGGTATATTTATTTTGTATTATGTACTTTGAAAGCGTCGCGTTAGTTAACAAATCTACCGAATCAAGGGTTTACTCTAATTTAAACAAGATCGGGTTGACAGCCAATTGCAATACGTGGGCAAGATACGGGGGGAGGTTCGGATCGTCATAATCACTCTTCCACATCCAGTTTCAAATGGTACTGTTGAACCACAAGTAGCCGCACCACTGATAATATTTAATCTCACCAACGGAGGCGGTGGTATGCTCAAGTATCGGTGGGCTAGTCATTGTGTTAACACCCAAATGAGAATCTAGTAAGCGCCGGGGTCGCGCGGTGACGCGGCTCCCGGTGGCGGAGTGGGTGCGGGGCCAACCTTCTGTTGACGAGGTTGTCGCGGTAAGGGTCCCGCGGCTGCCGCTTCATGATATCGGACTCGGGCGCCTCGTACGCCAATGATATAGCAGGCACCTTCAGTAACACAAGCAATCAGGACAAACCAACACTCGCGCGACCAGCACGCTCCGACTTATACATAATAAATATACGTACATATACCCCTCGGCTACGCCGCAACCTATATCTACAACTAGCGTTATTACAAATTAATTAATATCAAAAAGTACATAAAACTATTTATCGTAGGTTTACTTATATTACTCATAAATTAGCTAGTAAAAAGTGGAAAAATTGGCGTGATTGAAATTCAAAAATTATGGCAGCTGGTACTAGCCTTGAGGAGACAAAATATAATAATCTGAAATACTACACTAGTGAGAGAAGTTACAAATATAAGCCCTAGCAGCATGTTGGTATCTTGTAGGTATGATACAGTGTCGCAGTACCTAACTGTACATAGATACGCAGGGACGTTAGTGTCATATATATGAGTATGCGGTGTGATGAAGCCTGTTGCGTCGTGTGACAAGAATACCGAATGAGACGATTCACTTGTGATATACTTATCGTGTATGAGATCATGAGAGGTAGTAAATGAGAAAGTCAAAATACAATAAGTATACAATAAATAAATAATCAGTAATAGTTGTAAAGACGTCGAGGTGTGTTCGTACATGCACGATAGACAAATGACAGAGACAGGAGACACCAAACTTACCTTTGCGCGCGAACACAGAACATAGCGGAAAAGAGAATGAATAAAACCACAAAAACAATGGAACAATGCGTTTGGTCTGTGAGCACGAGGCGCCGTGTGTCGAAACACGTTATTCCATCACCACATCAAGCTACATAGTTAAAGGAAATAGGAGATACTTTAGTATAGAAAAAATATATAAAAAGACATCGCAAGGCAAAGTTAGGAGCGGTGCGATTGTCGCCTTCAATATCCACACAGACAATTCTAGATTCGTGTACCTACAGGACAGCGTCCACACACTGCAGGCAACAACCAAACCTCAATATTGAAGACTAGACACGTGGTAGCAAGCAAGTAGCGGATAGAATAATATCTTTGAACGAGTCTCGTCACTCGTTATGTTTTACCTCTCGTTAACGAGTTTATCAGTGAAAGGGTTACGCGGCTGTCGCTTCATAATGTCAGATTCGGCCTCCTCGTAAGCCAGGGAAATGGCGGGCACCTACACAAACACTAGCGATGTGAGCGACCCGCGACCCGGCCGCGGAACGCCCAAGCGCTCACGCACTCGCACGAAAGCGTGGTGCATCAGTCACATGTGTACAACATCGAACATATAGCAACAACCTCACAGGCAGACGCCACCGCAGCCTCGCTCTACTGCCAGACACATTACACTAATTCTTGTATGATTACGCGCTGAGCCGAGCGCAGTGGCGTATGCTTGCAACCGTTTGTTACGCTTAAAACTATCACACAAAATAAAATTAACACAAAAAATGTAGATCATGAGATGACTTCAGTTGTGGCAGACGGGACTCTTTGTAACTTAAAAGTATAAAATGAACCGCATGTTGTATGAGTGAGGATGTCATGTTTTGGAACTAAATCACATGTTCTATGGACGGTCTCGAATTGACTGGATGGTGATGGGGTGAAATGACTGTGGTACATCAGTGTGTTGTGTCTGTCTTACTGTGGGACAGTAACTAAGTCGAGCTTGTGCAGACCTCGTACACTGTCCGCCTCGGGCTTATACACGATGCCTAGTACTGTGTAACGTAGAGTCACTTGTTTAAAATAAAATGAAGCAAACACATCTACGTACATCATCCCCTCATTCCTACTAAACTTCCAGCGAACTCATATCAGGAACATGTAAAGACAACACTTATTAGTTGGGACCTATCCTAAGTTAGTATGTCTGCCTGATTTTAGTAGAATCATGCATGACTCTACATTTTTATTACACTGTAACACAATAATATTATTTACATAATCGTAACGCAGCCAATTAGTTTCCTGACAAAAGGTAATTAGGATGGATGAACAGCCATGTTAACTTGGCAATAAATTTTGTTAGTTACGTTTATGTAAATAGGGTACACATTAGATAAACACCCACTCGTCACGATATCGAGACAACAGCGACGTTATTAGCTGAAAACCAGTTAGTAGTTATATGGCAACATAACAATAATCACTCAATAAAGACCTCTCATTGACAAGTTTGTCGCAAAATGGGTTCCTAGGAGGGCGTTTCATAATGTCAGCTTCTGCCGTCTCGTAAGCCAACGCGATCGCTGGCACCTACGTCAATCACTTATTTAATATAAACAGTAAAAGTACCGGCTCGAGGGATCTTCAGCTGAAATATTTATGTCACATACTAACTATAGTATACTTATATACTTCTACATCCTTTGTTCATTATTATCGCCAATTTTTCCATTTGCAATAAGATAAATATTTATTTTCGTTCGTACTTTTTAAATGAACAAAAGGTGCAAGTTGTACAAATTATTTAATATTACATTATTCTATGCAACATTGTAAGTATAACTCTTCCATATAACATTTCCAAGAGTTTAACAATGTATCGTTCATTTAATATAACAAACAAAGCGAATGGAATGTCTTGCAATGTTGCACATTTTATAAGATATTCGACAGTAGTCTTGTAGTAATAAGGTCGAACTTACCATGTCAGTTCCAAGATCGATGCAGAGGATGGTAACGGTACCTAGGGGCAGTGGGATGTCGCAGAGGATGAAGGCAAGGAAGGGTGAGATTTCAGGGATGTTGGAAGTCAGGGTGTACGCAATAGATTTCTTCAAGTTGTCGAAGATGAGACGGCCTTCCTCAACACCAGTTACAATTGAAGCGAAGTTGTCGTCCAGCAAGATCATGTCAGCGGCCTAGAAGATTGGTTAACAGAACATTCAAGTGTGCCATCCAGAATCTTCTGGAACAACTGTAACTGTAATCGGTAGTTCACTTACTTGTTTAGACACGTCTGAGCCAGCGATACCCATAGCAACACCGATGTCAGCCTTCTTCAGAGCAGGAGAGTCATTCACACCATCACCAGTCACAGCCACGATGGCTCCCAGTCGCTGGCAACCTTCGACGATGATCAGCTTCTGTTGTGGCGAGGTTCGGGCGAATACGATTTCCGTGTGGTACCTGACGGGAAATAATCGATTAGTATCAGTAAATAAGGCACTATGTAGTACAAAACATCAATTTAGGGCCAAAACTCACTTCAGGATCTCGTCAAGTTGATCAGAGTTGAGTTCCCTGAGCTCAGTTCCGTGGACGACGGCGGCCTTAGCTTCGCGTGGGTTCACTTCAGATACGGGGATGTTCAGCCGAGCTGCGATGTCTTCAACGGTCTCGTTGCCTTCGGAGATAATTCCTACTGACTTAGCAATAGCCTTGGCAGTGATAGGGTGATCGCCAGTAACCATGATAACCTGTGAAGAAGTGTAAACATTAATGAAATGTCCCAAGACAAGGTATTTGAATGCATATCTTTGTAAATTTCACATACCTTAATACCAGCTGACCGGCACTTGGCAACAGCATCAGGCACAGCAGCACGAGGAGGATCAATCATACTCATCAGGCCGACGAAGCGAAGGTTGTCCAGGGGGAAGTTGGGGTCATCAGTGTTGAACTTGTAGCCAATGGGGTACTTGTCCGATGGCAGTTGGAGATCGCAGAAACCGAGCACACGTTCACCAAGACCTCCCAATTCCAAATAAGCGTTGTTGAAAGCTTCCTTCATTTCCTCATCCAAAACCTTCTCCTTGCCGCCGATAAAGATAGTGCTGCATCGTTCCAGAATCCTCTCAGGTGCTCCCTTCATCACAAGCAGGTGGCGAGGATCGCTGGGGTCGTCGCTCTCGTGGATCGAAACCTGGTACTTGTTGGTCGAGTTGAAGGGGATCTCACAGACTTTCTTGTTGCGCTTCCTGATAGATAAAACATCGCCGAGAGCCAGTTCCATGCACTTGAGCAGAGCAGCTTCTGAGGCGTCACCGGCAACTTCCTTTTTCAGAATTGGAACACCATCCTGACCTCCCTTGAATTCAGCTCGGTTACATAGAGTAGCGATTTTAGCGAGAGCCTTGAATCCAGGGCTGGTGCGGTCTGTAAACAAAATAATCGTTGTAACAGTTTTGAACAAAGATTTCGAATCATTAATCCTTAACATTCACGAATACGTACCATACTGAACTCCAGACTGATCTTCAGTGGTGTCAGCTTCAATAATCTGGTTGTCAAACCACATGTGAGCGACAGTCATCCTGTTCTGTGTCAGGGTGCCGGTCTTGTCTGAGCAGATGGTTGAAGTGGATCCGAGGGTCTCGACAGCCTCCAGATTCTTGACCAGGCAGTTCTTGGAAGCCATTCGCTTGGCAGTCAGGGTCAGACATACGGTTACAGTGGCCAATAGACCTTCTGGTACGTTAGCTACGATGATACCTGATAAAGAAACAAAGAATTAGTGTACAGTACTATTGAGCGGCTGATACAGAATTGTGGCTTAGTGCACTTACCAATGAGGAAAATGACAGCGTCCAGCCAGTGGTAGCCGAGGATGAAGGCAATAACGAAGAAGGTTACGCCCAAGAACACAGCCACGCCGGTAATCAGATGGATGAAATGGTGGATTTCCTTAGCAATGGGAGTCTCTCCAGTGTCCAAGCCTGACGCCAATCCCGCGATACGACCCATCACCTAGTACAAAGAGTAACAGTATTAAAATAAGAAAATCCTCTAATTCATACCATATCATAATTTGTCATACATTGTTTTTGTCTTACCGTATTGTCTCCACAGCAGATGACAACTCCTTTCGCCGTGCCCTCAACCGCGTTAGTAGAGAAGAATGCCAAGTTCTTGGTTTCCAATGGGTTTTCATGGGTGAATTCAGCACCACGAGATTGAGGTTCAGATTCGCCGGTTAAACTTGAGTTGTCGACTTTGAAGCCTCGCGCCTCAATGATACGGATATCAGCAGGGATGCGGTCACCGAATTTAACCTGAAAATGGCAAGAGAAACAGTAAGTTTATGGACAATTTATGGGAGGTTTTTTATTACGAAAGTTTGTTAGATCCTTACCTCAACAATATCACCGAGTACCAAGTCCTCAGCGCGCAGCGTCAACTTTTCTCCCTCTCGAATGACGGTAGCGAACTGGGGTACCATGTTCTTGAACGATTCCATGATCTTCGATGACTTGCTTTCCTGGTAGTATGAGAAGATGCCCGTAACGATAACGACAGCCGCCAACACGATTCCGAGGTACAAGTTGTCATCCGCAGGTTCTTCGACGGTACTTGCCTGAGAAGTCAATCAGCCACGGTCAATTGGTCTGCTACTTCAGTTAATTACTTAAGTACGCTGAACATCTCAACGAATTCCTGGTTACTGACCTGAATTCCGTAGGCAATAAAGCAAAGAATAGCACCAATCCACAATAATAACGCAAAGCCACCGAACAGATTTTTACAAAACTTCACCCACTCGGGCGTCTGTTTAGGCGGCGTGAGCGCATTTGGACCGTCCCGTTCCAGGTTCTCTTTCGCTTTTGCGTGACTAAGGCCCTGTAAGAGAAGAAGACGATGTATTCCAGTTAAAGTGTTCTTAATATAAAAAGGTTAGTATTTGAAGAAGAACAGAATCTGAGAATAACAATATTACATTTTCTGGATGTGTCTGAAATCTTTGGTAGAGCTCTTCCGGTGTTACTTTGTGAAAATCGATGTCCAACTCCTGTTTGAGATCATCTAAATCTCCTGCTTTCCGTTTTTTCGCGGGGGGTTTCCGGCGTGTCTGGAACATTTAAAAAAAATACACACGTGAATTCAATACAATAGTAATATTCGGTTAGTCTATAAATAAAATGTACAGTTTACTTCAAGTCTTATTTCAACAATCTTAATAATTAAAAATGATGAAGTATCAAAATGCGATGCAAAACAAAAAATGCTTAAAACCATGCAATAGATTAATGTTGACCGCTGCTTGTCTTGCGACTGCTGGCGTCATTGGTCACTTAGCAAGAAAATATGAAAGATGGAATGTAAATAAAAACCTTGTACTGTCCGTCAGCGGTTCTATTATCGTCCTTAATGGGTCCAATGGTGGCGACGCGGTACGAGTCGGTTCTGCCATGCTGTAAACACAACTAGGGGCTAGACACATTCTACAAGGCGGCCCTATGGGCCATGCACTCATGGATGAATGGGTGGCAGTGAAGAGCAACGATATCGCATGAACTCCTGTTCACACGATCTCAGGAAACATGAAGAACAAGTGTATGATTCAGGGTGCATGCAATATCGATGCTCGAGAACAAAACATGACAAAGAATATAATAAAGCACCTGGTTGTTAATACATTACAACATGGAATCAACCAGGCACTCTGTAAAAAAACAAAAAATGCATTGATGTTAAAAAAGACAAAGGGTAGCGCTAATTTAAATTGCATCTAAAATGATTGTGCTTACTATGATGTAATAAACTACAATTGTAAGGGTGTGTAGATAAAAATTGAATAGAAGTACCATATTCATTTGAAAAACGTTCAATTGCAAAGCATTACACAGCAACAGAGCATATGAGGCATAACCTTGCCGACTGAGTACTCTATAGAGCTGGGGACCAACGGCTCAATGGCGCTCAATTGGTCTGAACTAGTTGCGCGTGCGAACCTGAGCGAATGTAAGGACATCGCACAGGCGTACACCTCTACGCATGGACGATTCAACACAGAACCTCAACCACCAAAGCATAATACAATGTGATTACACTACAACTAGATACTCACATCACCCATAGTGGTCTGGATTATTTATGCTTCAGGAAGAGTACGTCCTTTCGTCAGGGTGTGTTATTGTGAACTGTCCAACTAGTCACTCAGTAACGACCTCAACGTTAAAATTGCCTGGATATGGGCTCTTACGTAACAAAACGAGTGCGCTATATGCGCTAAAGAGGGGTAATGTCACAAAGTCTAAATGCGTCCGCGGTGCCGTAAACAAGCCAGCCGTCGCCGTCGATAATTGATGAACGTTTTCATAGCATGCCTCATTAAACCGCGCCCTGAATTCCCATGAAGGTTATCGCGGGAATAACTGTAGCTGTAAACTGCACTAGCGCCGAAAAATTCAACGGATAATGAATTGTTTAATCAAGAAAACCTTTCAGGAAACTGAAAGGTCGGACTTCCGTTAGGGAAGGCGATATATGAATAATGGATGTCCAAGATAGATTGAAGTTAACAGAAGGGGTGTCGATGTAACCGTGGCGCGAGAGAGAATAATGGAAACGGAATATTCATAGGGTGTATTTCGAGATGGCTCTTGCCTTTCACCGCACGGTGCAAGGCAGGGGCCACACTGGGACTGACATGCGGCAGAGGCGACGGCGGCGGTGCGGCGCGGCGGCGTGTCCCGAGTTACATAAGCGGCGCGCACATCGGGCATGCGCACTGCGGACCAACCCCCGCGCACTACCCTCGACATAAATAGCTAAAAGACAAGGTTGCCACCCCGGGGCCCCGGCGACCGCATTTATAATCTCTATAAAGGTTAAACCGGAATATCTGATGGAAAATGGAAACTGGTTCTGGCATGAATAAAACGACGTTTGCAAGGGGATGATTAACCCACTTTCAAAACCTTGAAACGAGATCATGGGTTAATACTAAATCTCGTATGACAGGGTCTTTCGACACGCCATGGTTTTGGCACGAAAACTGTTCTATAGTGATATATTTTATTCTCAGGAATATAATAACGCGTAAAACATACGTAACTCACAAACGACCGGAAAAAGATTGAAAACAATAAATAGACGTGATTGAGTCAACGAACAGCATACAAATGCCATGGCATATGTCAGCTGGCCGGTGAAGATTCATTGCCACGGCCGCAAAACTGCTTTACACCGAAAATTTGTGGTTACTACTGTAGACACTGTAGTAGATGCGTGACGCAATGAATGGGACAATTATTTTTAACATTAATGAAACGCGGCGCATGTGACGTGCCTTCGGATCTCCGTGACGCTGTGCGATTCTTGATCGTTGCCAAAACACTATTATTAACTAAACCCTACTTTCACGCGGTCTATCTGGAGATCTAGACGAGTGTAAGGAATCATAAACATGTAACGCCGGCTGCGTTCAAATCGATACTGGATACTAAAGATAAATAATACCCAGAAAATATTGATTTCACATTTATTTTACAACCTTGCATTCTTCGCTTGTGATTGAGAGAACCTCTTAGTTTTATTTTTTAACCAATGAAGAACTACTAAAATATTTTTAAAGAATAAATATCCGTTTGTTTATGATACTTCGCATTTAAAAATAGAATTGAGATTTTTGTCATTGAACTGTATCCAAATTGGTACGAATAATTTTTTTTTTTTATGTATTAAAATATTCACTGTGATAAAGTTGAAAATTAAATGACCGCAATTTTATTTTGATAACCTTAAGTGTTATTTGACAAATCGATACAACGAAGTCATAACTGTTATTGTTTTTATGTAAGAGATCACTGAACCACGAGTTCAAAATATAATTTGAGACGAATAAATAATTTGTATTTTAAGTCTAGGAGAAATATTTCGAAGTACTATTACGTAATCGCGACGTCCTACTATGACGATGGATGACAACTGTCTAGTTGGACTGTCCATAAAATGAAGAATACAATACTTTTAGCACAGATACTGTAATAGTTCTGGTATTGCGTAATGGCTTTAACCAGAGCATGTCCCACTGGCCATGGCAACGAATGCTGGTCAATCAGACGACGATCTACTGCAGATGTGTTCTTTAAATCACAATGAGATTCATTTGTAACCACTGCACGGTATTAATCATTGTTGGTACCGAACCTTTGTGTCCTACCTACCAATAGTCACTGAGCTCCAGAACTAGTTAAAATCCCCAAAAATACAAAGAGAATAAATTTATAAAATGTTGGATGCCAAAAAAATAACAATTCCAAAAAGTCAATCAATTAATTTAAAACCTCAAAGTTTTTTTTTTTAAATAGGCATCCTAAGACGTGTGAAATCTTTTTAATATTCGGAAACACTATCAAGGACCACGTCTACGATCCTAATTGATGCGTGCTGTCGTCATAAAAGGATAGAGGAAATACTCCAATAGAGCGACGGTACTCTATGCGATTTAAATGACATAATGACAAGGCAATTTTCTAATAAACCTTCGATACTCTTATAGTTGTCGTGTCCGAAGCACGGTTGGCTCCCGCGACAACCTGTTAGCCACTTCCTCCAGAACACCTAGTGAGGAATGGTCTTTTGCCTTAGTATTACGATCACGCGATCAGGACATGACGTTCCAAGGCAGGACATTCGACCTAAATGGCCGTTAGGAAACTAGGGCACGCTGAGAGCTGAAATCAATATTTTCAGCTTACAGGAAAATACTAGGTCGCCGCTGAATCCATTTTTCAAATTTGATAATTTCATTAGATTCGTGTTTTGTATTTCTTGGACACTTGGATAAAACACTTTTATACCCATTTTACCAATTTGGTACTTTTACGTTTTTTTTAAATATTGAGAGTGAGAGAAATCAATGAACTGCGTAATTGATTAATCACATTTTGGAAGGATTATCGTACTAAATTTAAGCATATTTGTCCGAATCTACGACTATTGACCATATGATTTTAATTTTTTTTTTCAAAGGCAGAGTTAGTAGACAGTATTAATCATTTAAGAAAAAAATGTAAAGGCTTTGTACCGAAACTAGCTTGCAACAATATCAATGTTGATCTGCATTAGTAAAGACGTAACCGGTTGTCGTAATATGTATGCCTGTATTAATAGTAATGCATCTTATAAAAAATAAGGGAAATATATCAGGATGTTTTAAGGAAGTGATTCGGTACTGGCATATGAGGGACTGAGCGGAGTGTCCCTCTCCGCACAGATCGATACGACGAGTTACGCAACCCGACCGGCGCCGTCTCCGATACATTACTCCTCTTCTGTCAACCGAATTTTGCAATGAATTATATTATTAAACGTAGTCGTAATAAACATGATAACTAATGCTAAGACACATTCAGTGCATGACAAAACTAAAATGGACAAAGGAGCTTAAGCGGTCATAGGGAAGAAGAGGACCAGCTTTGGACTACGTGCATATGATGTACCGGTTGACATTTATGTGCCAGAACAAAGGCAATGGAACGTGCAAATGGTTTCTTGCGATGAAACTGCACAAGGACATGAGACCAAGATCGCAAGCACTGTTCACGAGCAGACGAGCCCAATGCAAGCAGCACCGGGCTTTTTCGTTACCTTTCCGCACTCACTGTTTGCGACATGCACTTACACCTTCACAAAAGCACTGTCTCGGCGACTCGGCACGCTAACTGTAAAGGCTAAGGCAAGCACTACTGCAAGCACAGCACTCACCTCGCCCATTTTCGCTAGTCTTTATGAAAAGGCGGATAAAAAGGAACAAGCCGCCTCTCGGTCTCGCCTCTTTCCCTCAACGGAGTGGGGTGGGTCGTCGCTAGTTCTGCAACAACGGGGACCGTTACGGTTTCCTCGTTCCAACGTAAAAACTTAAAAAGTGTGCGCTTTCACGTAGTCTCGTCGCACGGCACTGGCTATGTCATCTTTGTACGAAACTAAAACCCGGTATGAAAGAGGTGCGCGGATGGCGGAGGCGCGTAGGGCGCGACGTTCGGCGGCCTGCTTCGGGCGGCGACTGACGGTGGGGCCGGCGCGTATCGAGCCGACGGCGCACTGACGTCACACTGCGTCACGACGCCAGCGCCGCGCTGCCAGCGACGCGCGCAACCCGCTGCGCGAGGCGCCCTCTATCGCCACCGCCCCGCTCGTAACCTTCCACAACCGGTACGTTGACAGCCCCTACTGATCGACAAGCTTTCCGGCGACGCATGTTCAGCACCATACTGTCTACCAAATATCTATGTACGATTCCTCAATTACTTACAGAACATACTAAATTGAATAAATGTAGAAACTCCATATCTACTAGTAGACGTAAGAGATAAATAATTATTACAATTGCATCACGAAGGTTGTTTTCCACGGCGGTAATATATTTTTATGAGTTTGTAGATACCTAGGGCGTGCGTCGTAGGCG